ATTCCAAGGTTCTAGAAACATCCACCATTAGTTTTATGCACTGTTATCTATCTGTATGTTAGATAACATAGATACATAGAAACATAGGTAAGTCTATCACCACCATGCTCCTCACAAACGGGACTTGAGCTTTTGCCTCTTTATTGATTGCAGTTATCAGTTAATATAGAGTTTTAGGCATTAACCTTAAAGTATTTTTCAGTCTTAACAAATAAACATTAACAAGATTTATAACTTGCATAATCCAAACAGAAACTGAAGTGTTAATTACTTATCTAAAAAAAGAGTTTTGGTTGAGCCATAAAAATACGACATAGCAAAATAGTTCTTCTAAGCTAAGCTCTTTACAATGTATTGAAACACACAATGAGTGAAGCTAATGCTCCTACTTCTTCACTCAGACTGAAGTCCATATGACATTTGGCAACGGAGATTATAAGGAGGGTTTCCTTTTTCTTCTAAAAGCTATAGCTACCTGAATCAGGAATACTGTTTTCAAATAGCCCCATAAAAATATCTAACATCTGAATTCTTAGACTCTCATGTGTATGCACACTCTTACCTTCCTCTTCTGTACCTAGGGTCCTGCCTTCCCACCAAGATTAATGGATATTTCTGTTTTCTGTACCCAACGAACATTGTGCCATACATCACAGAAAGAATGAATCTAAAAAATGATAAAACATCTGTTCCTCATTGTATTTTCTTATTCAAGGATAGAGAAATGAAGAGGAGTGCATTGTTTTTGTTTTGCTTCTATCTGCAATGGTTGTAATAAAGTCAATGCAAAATATATCCCTGGGGACACGTTAACTTTAATTGCTGTTAGCATTGCCATGTACAAAACTATTAAAATGAAGTTGAAATGTCATGGTCTTATTTATAAGCCATTAACAACTACCTGGGATTTACATCTATGCTAAAAAAAAAAATCTCCAAACATGGTCAATCATCTTCTTCAGCAGAATATTTCTAAATAAATATAATAACTCTATCTATGCATGGGGTCATTAGAAGCCAAGTGAAAGGTATTTGAATGGCCAAAGAGTGGCAAACAACCAGAAATAACACCAACTTATCATTCAAGCATATCTTTATTCTATTGGGTCAAACATCAAAATTACAGTGTTTTGGAGGAAAAGCTAAGTTCTTGTTTTCTTTAAACCAAAAGATGAGATAATTTGTAACACTCAGCCCCTGAGGGTGCTGGAAAGAGCCAAGTTGTAGCTAATTTGGGGTTTAACGTATGGGATAGCATCCTCTGGCAGTTTCAGAGGGCTTCCCCCTACCCCCTACCCCACCCCGTTTGAGAGAGTTCTTAAGCAAATGTTTACCTTGTCATCACATGTAACTTGGGAAATAAGTTCTGAGTACTATATGTTTATGTGCTCCTCAATGTGAGTTATTCACAGTTTCCTCGGCTTGTACTGCAAAGCGTGTTGCTATGAAGTCCTCCAAGGTTCTGCTTGACTTGGCCTTGGAATAGCTTTTCTTGTTATTTACTCTTTGACAGAAGGACTGGAAACCGTCCAGCCTGTGAAACAGGCTTTGCAATATTTGGATGGTGTTCTATGAGGAATGGCCTGCTAGCATGCGTCTGACGTATGCAAAACAAGTTCAAAGATGGCTTTCTGGCACAGTTCTTAAAGGTCTATATGTGGTATGAGGAAGACCAACAGTTCCAGTCTGGCACAACTAACACACAGGCTACACCTCTCCTTCTACAGTACGAGACTAATGGCCCTAGAGAAACTGTTTTCTTCCACATACTCTTCATACCCAGACTATTTTTTTAAAAAGATTAAGACTCACATCATGAAAACCAAACAGGCAGTGATACCAGTTGCCGGCTAGTACATCTGGGGGAAAAAAATGTATAATTGATGTTTTGAGCCGCATCAATATAACCTGAGCTCAATTCTATAGACACTACCTTGGCCCTTTCTTCTCTAATTAAAATGCTGGGGAATAAACTGCAGATAAACTATTAAGTTAATTAGGGCTATACATCTCATAAAACCATGCATCCTTATCTTTAGAGGCTCTCTATAACTCTCTGTTTTGCTGTTTACAAACCGGACGGTAAATTGAGGTCTAGGTGAAAGGGCTCTGTTGCTCTCCCCATGTACACCCCCTAATCCCATATCCCATTAGGGGTGTACACTGCATTCTTTATCCTTGCTCTCTCCCTAAATTCTATAACCTAAAACTATAATACAGTTTGATTGCTTACCTAATGCACAGCAGAATTAATTTGGCTATGAAAATAGAACATTATTACATTCACCTGAACATGTGTGCAGGATGAACTAACGCACAGAACAAATTCATCTTACGGTGATTCTGTCCAAGGGAACCAGCAGCCCCGGAACTCACTTTACACAGGAAGAGCACCAGGAAGCCTACAGTATCATGGGTGTCTGTCCAAACTTCAGGGCTTCAGTTTTAGCACCAGATACTGCTTGCACTAATTCTAGTCTAGTGCGCAATTACGCCATAACTTTCTAACTTGTTAGGAAGCCATGAAATGAGTGCAAGACAGATAACTATGTGTTACTAAGATTCTTGGAACAGCACTATAAAGAAAAAGTTATTATACAGAAAAGTACAATTTAAGACAGTCCCCTTTGGGGCTGAATATATAAAGAGCCAGATCCTATGTCACAGCGTTGTCTGGGTACTAAAAGCAGGATTCCAAAGAACGTTTAGAAAATTGCAAAGTGGACATTAATTTTACCTAGCCTGCACAGATAGTCTTAAATTTAAGTTCCATTTGGATTAGAGAATAAGGCTGATGTAAAGTATCTTTTGAGGATTTTTTTTTTTTTTTTTTTTTTTTTTTTTTTTTNTTTTTTTTGTATTTACTGCCTGGGACCAGACTCCTCAGGAATGGCTGCTCCACTGGGGCCGCAGGGTAGTAAGCTTTGGCATCAATGGGACACCGCTGTTAACAGAATGTGAGAGAATAGTGGGAACATGCTGAGAAATAGAACATAACTGAGTCAAAAATAGGAGATGCCAGTAAACTGTCTGGATATAGCAAGAGAAATCCAGTTTTCAAGTGGATTGAGATTAACCTAAATAAAACAGCCCTACGGGGAATAAATCAAAGGTTATTTGAAATGAGAAGCTACTACTATTTAGGGCCAACTGATTACGGCTATATTATTGCCATACTGTCCAGCTTTTTCAATGAAGCCAGAAATTAAATTTGTATGTGTAATTTAATTTTTAAATAGGACTAATTCAATTTTAAAAAAAAAATATCCCCCTGCAGGCCAAGTATAGCACCTGCCTCTGGTTGGTTCTCTTTACCAAGTACAGGCAGCCAGCAAAGCAAAGTTCTCCCAGCAGGCTTTACTATTAGCTATCATGGCCTCAGCCTGCACATCTCAGAGTCTTTATGACTGGCACCATACTATCTGTAGTCAGTGCTGCTATTCACTAAAGAGACATTGGTGGCTGTGACACAACAGTCTAGCAGAATAAGCATGTCAAGACTTCAGAGAACTAGTCATTTTTACTTCCATTACATATTTTTACATTAATTAGAAATGCTTTTACGTTCAATTAAGCATACAAGCCAAAGCTACTCCAACTTTACACACGATGTATCTTTGATATCATTTTACTTCTAGGAGTTTGTCTTATTATATACAGCTTCAAACAAATCAAAAAGAATGCGTCCAGTTTGATTATTAACTATGAAAAACCAGTTTGTCAGTTTGTTTTGGTTTTTGGAGACAGAGATTCTCTGTATAGTTTTGATGCCTGTCCTAAAACTAGCTCTTGTAGATCAGGCTGGCCTCGAACTCAGAGATCCGCCTTCCTCTGCCTCCTGGGTGCTAAGATTAAAGGCGTGCACCACCACCGCCCAGCCGAAAAAAAGTTTATTTTATTTAATTTATTTTATTTAATAGAATAAAAAATTACAGGCGAGATGTGACTATTGGTTAGTGGCAGGAGGTTTGCCTAGCATCCATGAGACCTTAGCAACAACAACAAATCTACAAGACCAAAGGAGGAAAAGCCAGAAGTGGAGGGACAGAGGGTAATGAATATGCTAGAGATGGCTGTTCAGTAGGACAGTCACTTCGTTTCAGCATTCTTCTAAGAATAACACATACAACATACATTCTTTGTCTCAGAATGACATCTGGACTAATAAACTCAATGTTAGGGTTTTAATACATCTAACTACTCTTGTGTTTAAGTCTCAAAACTCTACTATCCTCAGAGCTCAGGAAGGCCATGTGTACACATATAAAAATACATCCTACTACCCACGTGTAAATGGATAGACTCATGCTTTCTCCTCAAGTCCTTGAGTTTAAAATCCAAACTCAAGGCTCAGGCTTGCATTAATGTCTGGCATCTGTTTTTATCTGCTGCGCTATCTCACTCACCATGTAAAAACTGTAATATATGCTAGTAACCTGGCTATTCCTTATTTTCAATTCTTGAAACTTATTCATCCGTAGACCAGACTACATCTTAAATCCTTCAAAATTACTGTAATCTTTCCCCCACAGAATTTGCATTTCTTAAATCTTTGTAATCTGAAGCCGAATAACTTAATATATACCTCACCAGAACTCACTTATATGAACACTCTCATCTTGAACTTCTAACCAGCAGAACTGACAGAAATAAACTTGCTTATAAGCTCCCTAGTAAATGGCAATTTATAACAGGAGCCCCAATGTAGACAAAAGCCACCGTGCAATGTAAACTAAAACTATACACCTGTCAGAACAGCTAAAATTTAAAAATTAAAACAATAAAACCAAATGCTCATTAGAGTGCAAATAAAATTACTTTCATATATTGTTAGTGAAAATGTAACAGTATGATCACTCTACCATAGTTCATTTAGTTTGTTTGCTTTTCGAAGCTAAACATATACTTGACATTTGACCCATGAATCAAACTTCTAGGCATCCTTTCCAGAAAAAAATGAAAACTCATATACATTTAAAAATGTTTACAACTATTCACAAAAATTTTATTTATAATAATCCCCAAATCAGACAAATTAAAATGTTCTTCAATAAGCAAACAGTTATACAAAGTATGGTACATACAAACCATTCAGCAGTAAACATAACAACTTGAACAGATCGTAAGGATATTATACTGAGTGAAAAAAAAAAAATCTCCCAAGCTTATTTCTTACATGCTTCTATTTACATAATATTCTCAGTGACAAAACTATAGAGCTGAGAACAGTTGGTTATGGGTGGTGGTCCGGTAGAGAACACGGTAACTGGACCACGAAGACCTCTGTGGTACTGGGGTAGTGCTATACACTGCTTGTAGCAAGTCCATGAATCTGCACGCATGATACAACAGCAGAGAGCTACATAGATACCAATTACCAAATCCTGTTTTTGCTATATTACACTATATGTTAGATGTAACCACTGCAGAAACTGGGTGTCTAGTGTAGACTATATGTTTATATTAGCTTTGCAACTTTATACACAATTTGTAATTATCTCAGAACAAAATTTAGAAGTAAATATTGTATAATATACAATAAGCTTCCAAATAACTGCTGTGGGAATGTCTTATCTACTAAAGCCCATGATTTGAAGAAAGTAGGTCAGCTGTTCCAGAACTTCTTGTTCATGGTTTATATAGGGAAACATGTTTGTAAAAACCTTGGCTAATGCTTACAATCTTCTAGCTGAGAAATTTTACTGTTACTATTAGTGAAAAACAAAATTAGACAGAAATGCTTTGTGAATATATCAAAAATAAACATATTTAAAACGTATCTATATTCTAATGTATACTGTTTTCTCTCAGAAATTAAATTGACTGCGTAATTCTGGCTAAATCCAAAGACATAATCTTAAGTCTAAGGAGTATATCTCTTGAAGTTATCAGTACAGTATGATTTCACTTTTGATATACTAAGCACAATATCAGACAAAGAAAAAAATCGAGAAGTCACTTAAAATGAAAAAAAAAAATATAATTCCTAAAAGTAAAATTCACGCATTGCTATTATAGTCAGTGTTTTAATAATCCACCATATAAATTGACACATACAAAAATGTCTCAATGATCTGTTACCACTTAAATTAACGCATCATATAATTCTTGAACATGCGTTGACTTCTAACCTCTGCTCTTCTTCAGAATTAGCTGTAAGAGAGGAAGTGAAGATACATGTTATACCTATGGGAAATAAGTCACTAGCAAGCTGCAGTGTAAGTAGCCTAGATTTTTGGTTCACTTCCCTCAGTGAATAGGAACCATCCGTAGATCAGGAAACCTGGAGTGGAGTCATTTCATTTACTAAACTTGCAAATTACAATCAAAGTATCAAAACTGTTGATTCCAAAACAATGATCTAGGGTATTAAAAATGTTTTTAAACTAAAAAAAAAAAACAACCCTAAAAAGTAGTATAAATCCATTGCAACATAAAAAGCTCACAATTAAGCTGGAATTATATCAGCTATAGGTCAAGACTGGTCATCTTATACTGAGTAATTTGTTTCATATACTATTTTCAAAACATTAAATGTTGCAGAAATAAGACAAAGGGAAATATTTCGTTGTAAAAATGCTGGGAGGATGAGGCCTAAATTATCTCCAAAAAATATAAATAAAAATAACTGTTTACAGGAATTTAGCTACTACAGTTTAAAAAGAAAAATGGCCTCGGGTCCCATGGGTTGGCTCAGTGTGTACCAACACTAAGTGCTAAGTCAGACAACCTGAATTTGACCCCACAAGATAGAGACAATTGACAAAAGTTGCCCTGGCCTCCACAGGTATGCTGTGACAGGTGTACACATGTACACATACATACACACAAACACACATACACACGCACAGATGCATAATAAAGGCAATAAAACAGTAGAAAAACAAAAGTCCAAATTTAAAACACTTATATATGCTTTTCATGCTCTTAATTATTGCGTTACTTTCAGAAAAATACTTATTTGGACTTGAATAGTTGTGGTGTTTCTCTCTGAAGAGAACTTAAGAGTCCCATAAAACTGTTGTGGCATAGACAATGCCTTGGCTGTCTATCACAAGTAGGTTTGTGACCCAGCCGAGCACTGCTCTGTGCAAAGCAATATTAATAAGAGAACTATAAAATCATGTACTTCTTAAGTTTAGAAAATGCCGAATATGTTCTGTATTTAAATACATTTCCAAAATGTTGTTAAATAAAATTCAAAAATCCTCTTTACTGGTACATTTCTCATAGACTTTTCTAACTTTCTCTAACTACCATTCAGCTCTTCTTGCACAACATCAGGTTATAGGCATTTCAAAATAAAAATCTTTAAAAAGTATTTGAATCAAAGATGATAGCCATCGTAGTAACCTAAAGTTTAACTTGCCTAAACAGAGAATTCATGCTTTACCTTTGCTGCAGCCAGCACATGGTCCTTTTGGATAACTTTAGATTTACTCTCACAGGCATTCGTCCTGGACTCTTCTGCCAGTCGATGCACAAAGAGTAAGAAGTTCAAATGGATCTTTAGAAGCAGAGCATATGTACCATTAGATAATACATAAGTTAAATATATACATGAACCCATTTTAACATATATTTTATGGACAATACAAATGATGTATCTTTAGGAAATTTATTACTCAGAACTTTCTCATCCACAGCTTCTTCCACATGTGAGGGTGCTACTCACATCAGCTAAAAAGTATCTTTCCTAATTTTATTTCTTTTATTATTTACATGAGTTATTAAGTACTCTAAACAATAACCTGACTCAGAAGATTCAGGGCACTGTGCTAAACAAAGAAGACAAAGGCTCCTGACTGTAATGTCCCAGACTACTGGGACAATCACCCCATAAAGCTGCATGGTATGCTGGGAGACACCATCAGAAATGAACAACGCTGGGAACAGCGATAGCATCTCAGTAACTAACTGGTATGGCATTCAGATAAAAAGAATAAAACATACCGCTTCATGTGGAAAGAACTGTGGATGACGTGGACTACTTTATTGGGTAAGACTATGACGTTAATGGAAAGCAGAAAACAGTAAGCAGAGAAATGGCATCAGTTAACAACAGACTAAACAGGAACCATTTAACAAAGGTCACTGAAGACAAACCTATCACCTGGGAGCAACAAAGGACCAAAGGAACTTCCCTTTTCCACCACTGCCATGACTTGTTCCAACTGCGCTGCTTTCCCCTGACACCTAGAGTCCCCCCAGAGTCCATAGAACCACAGGTCACTTCAGGGCAGAAAAAAAGGATGGTGGGGAGACACTGGCTATTTAAAAAAGGTCTGCCAACCTCTGGATACTCCTAGTCAGGGGATTTCCTTCTATACTAAGATCCAACAAAAACAAATAGACAAAAACAGAATAGAAGCCCAGTTCATTTATGCTACTTTAACCACCACCAGAGCAGTGGGGGGGTGGGGGTGGGGGACACAAAACGGCAATGTTGCCTTTTCTAACAGAATATGAGAAAAAAAAAAAAACTAACAGTAGAAACAAGATCTCTTTTATGGTTCATGGGCAGCTCCCAGAATATGATATAGTACCAACACTGAGCCTTCTGCACCCTTCAAGTTGGGGGGAGGGGCATATATTTTGGCTCTAGAGACCAAAAATGTAAAAAGTAGACAATTTTATAATAGTGAAGAAAAACAGTGTCTGGGGACGGGGCTCGGTGGTTAAGAGCACTGGCTGCTCTTCTGGAGGCTGCTAAGAAGCATCCATAGTAAGGCAGCCCCCAACCACCTGGAATTCAACATACAAGGGATCTCACGTCTTTTGGCTTCTGCAGGCACCTACGTAATATGATCTTCACTCACAAATACTCAAAAATAAAAATGATTTCAAAGTAAGTCTTAAAACGAGGATGTCCCACAGCTTTAAAACCGGCACTGAGACACAAAGCCAGGTGGATCCCTGAGTTGAAGGCCAGCCTGGTCTACACAGTGAGTTCCAGGCCAGTCAGTGCTACAATGGGAAGTTCTGTCTCAAGGAAAAAAAAAAAAAAAAAAGAAAAAAAAAACCAGAAACCCTGGTAGAAGTCAATAGCTGGGAAGACGGGAAAATAACTCCAGTTCTGCACCTTCATCTGGAAAAGAGGCATGCGTTTTCAGAACAGAGGGCAAGGCCGTGCTCCTGTGAGTCAACCTGGGGACATAATGTTCCCACACTGAAGCTACTTCGAGACAGAAACAGACAGTTGTTTGACTGGGGCCAATTACTGGAAAGCATTTAGTTTCGGGCAAGTATGAGTTTGACAAACAACAGTCTTGAGAGGTTAAAAACTTTAAGAGTGCTCTATCATCTGTCTAGGAAAATGAATCCGGCCGCTACATGATCACTTTTGAAGGCAGACCTTTAGTAAGGGACCTAGTGCAGCAGCGACAGTGTATTGTATTGGGTACCATCATATAGGAGCTAGGGGAGGCAGGAGGCCAAATCTGTCTTTAGATGATTCACCTGAGATATAGAAGAGGTAGGTAGGTAAGTAGGTAGGTAGGTAGGTGGATAGATAGATAGATACATAGATAGATAGATAGATAGATAGATAGATAGATAGATAGATAGATAGATAGGGATATATACATATAGACACATACATGATGATAGATGATAGATAGATAGATAGATGATATACATATAGACACTATATATACATATATATGTATATATGTATATATATAAACACATGTTAATCACGATGCCAGAGAGTTCTGAATGAAGCGCTATTCCTGGAAACAATAAGGGGCAGGGCTTCCGCTGAAGGGTCAGTGTCCTGGTTGACAGTCTTCCCTTAAAAAGTCCCGGGTCTTCCGCAGTCGAGTCCCCCGACCCCCGCACCACCCATCCCACCCCCACCTCCCCGGTCCCGGGGCGCCGCCCGCCCTAGCTACCGGGCCCGAAGAGACGCAGGCCGGGCCTGTCCCCGGCGTGTCGCGGGCCCGGCAAGGAGCGCCACTCACCAGGAGGTCGCAGCCGGTCTCCAGGCGAAGGTGCGGCTTCTTCTGCTTGAAGGTGCGCCTGAGGAAGGCGCGGGGCGCCTTGCGCTTGATCCGCTGCGAGACGGTGGTGGAGAGCGCCATCTCCGCGGCTGGTCGCGCTCGCTCGCCGCAGTCCGGCCTCCCGCGGCGGACGGACGGCTCAGCGGCCGAGGGACTGCGGGGACGACCTCACCCGGGAGAACACAACGACTTTCCTTCCGGACCCCAGGGCCGGCCTTCGGTTTGAATCTGCCGCCAGGCAGCGCGTTGGCGCACGGCAGTGACGTCACCAGCAAGCCACTCCCACGCCGCCGGAAGCACAGGCTGTAGACTGGGCGGAGAATCACGAGCGAATGGTGTGTCCCGGTTGCCCACTCCTTAGAGGCTTGCTTTGCCATCTTGCTGCTACAGTTCTCCGTGGAGCTCTGCTCCCACGCTTGGTTTCATAGAAAAGATGGGAAATTGTGGCGTCAGTTGATATGCCCAACAGGAGCTCCATGTGCTGTCCAAGCTCGCAATTTAGCAACTGGATTCCAAAGAACTAGAAAGTAAATGAAAGAAATTTGTGTCTTATCAGAAATCCTTAAGCTCTGATGTCTGATTTTCTGATATTAACTTACACTTTTACATAATTGCATTTGGTTTTGCATGAGATTTTTTTCTCAAATCATATTTGCTTCACAAATGTCTGCCCTTTGAGGCTCCATTCCTTAACTTCCCTATAACTTTCAAATATACTTTTTTTCTTTTATTGAAAATAGTTTTTTCATAAACTATATTCTTATTACTATTTTCCCTCCCCCTTCTCCAAGATCCTTTCCCCTTCCCCACCTATCCAAATATACTCCCCTTACTGTTTCTCCTTGAAAACAAAGAGAAATCTAAAGAATAGTGATAAAATAAAATAGGGCAAAACAAAAGAAATCAGAAGAGGAAAAAACAAACAGATTAAAAAGAGCCAAAGGAAAGCACAAAAAAAGCATATAGATGCGGAGATACATGTTTGCACGTAGAAACCCAAAATCCATAGAAAACACAAAAGTGGAAGCCATAAAATATATGCAAAGGACAAATAATGTTTGTTTTTTAACTATGCCCTGAGGAAGTATTATGAGACAAAGAATCTCCAAAGATGCCATTGAGTTCTTGTTGGGTTGGTCATCCACTGCGGGGCTGGGGCCTGTCTTTAAGAGGTTTGTGTCCCAATTGAATCACTGTTATAGAAAACAAATGGAAATAGCTTCTAGGATGGGGATCACTTCTTTCAGTGCTGGTATCCCATCTGGCACAAACCCATGCTGGCCCTGTGCTTGCTGCCACAGTCTCTGAGTTCACATGTGTGTTAGTCCTTCTGTGTTTCTAAGCCTTTTTTCCTTGCTGTCCTTCATTCCCTCTGACTTGCAAAATTTCTGCTTCCTCTTCCTTGGGGTAGGATGAGTGTGCTTACAAGAGAAGCCTTGAAAAGTTGTCTTTTCACACAATGCAAAGAAAACTGTAAGGCACTATCTGTGCATCAGAGGTGACGATCATAACTCAACCTTTCTGACATGAGTATCTCTGATGTCTCAGCCTCTGGAACTGTGATGTATTCATTTCTGTTGTTTATAAGCCATCTACTATATGCCATTTTGTTATAGCCAATCTTCATCGCAGCTTCATGTATAATAAATGGAATTAAAGTCAATACTTATTAAAAAGGGAATATAAATACCAAGTGTTACATCCCCTGGGTTTCTTTTACTGATGTAACGAATGATAAAAATAGAATGTCTCAATATAACACAAATTCATTGTCTTACATTTCTGAAAATCAGAGTTCCTAAAGTCAAGGTGCTATCAGGATGCATGCCTTCTAGAATCCTGAATACAGGACATCCATACAGATATTCATTACACTGTTAGAATTGAAAACCACACCTGCAGTAAAGCTGCCAACATCAATCCTGGGCTGTTCTGTTCTATGGCCAAACAGTCACGGAATTAGCACTTACACAAGCTGGCTTCCATGTCCCACTCCAGAGGAAAGAATATCATGCCCACCCCCCACCCCGCCCCACTGGGATTTGTTCTGGCTTGAACTCGCACAGGTCTTAGGGATGATGTCACCACCTCTGTGAGTTCATACATGTGATTGCATTGTTAGACATAGAAAGCACTGCTTAATTTAGGGCGTCTGCTGCCTCTGGCTCTCAGAATTTTTCTGCCTCTTCTTCCTCAAGGATCCATGAACTTTGGGGTGGGGGTGTGTTATAAGGGGCCCATATATAGCTGAGCATTCTGCTGTCTCTCATTCACTGCAGCTGGAGCAGTCATGAGTCTCTCTATTTACCCCACTCCTAATGTCTTATTACACTGATTTGTGCCCCTCTCAAACCTCATCAGAAAAAAGTTCTTTCTGCAGTAGGTGGGGAATTTTTTTATAGACTCCCTTTTTTTCATTTTCTAAAGTCACAAAGTAAAACCCTGGAAAAATTCCATGACAATTCGATGCTTAAAATCTTCTCCCTTGATGTGTCCTTGATTAAAAATTTCAAAAATCACAAGACAGCTCTTGAAACACTGGCCTACACAACTGGAATCTGGAAGATTGGACCATCTTCAACGTCAAGTCAGGGGAAATAAACTAAGACTAGATTGGAAGGAAAGAACTGGGATGGGGTGAGAGGAGGGCAGTGTGACTAACAGTAAACACGGCCCTTGCCCCTTCCTTTGTCCTCCCCATCACCTCCTTTAAAAGTTTGCGAAGGTAAACGTCCTTTGGTGTGCTACTAATCTTTTCAATGAAATCACTGAAAGACTTCTTTATCCCCTCTCATATTATTCTAAGGAGTTTTTATATACTTATATAAATTTTATGCACATGAAATTACTGGAATTTATACTTTTATCATTTTGTTGATGTCTGTTAAAAATATTTTGTGTTCCATTTACTTTTCAGGAACTATCCTAAGGAAATTATCCTAAACACAATATATATTTTGTGGAGATGTAAAATAGTAAAATACTTTACAAAGAATATTTATAAATAAGATAGACTATTGTGACCATATGAAAAGTAATGTTTCTGCAAGGTGATAGTCAAGAGGGAAATCCATATTACTACCAGGAAAGAGGATAAAACTTTATACAAATGGAAATAAATGAGATCTTTATATTATGGGAAATAGCGATGTGCATGCACATAGTGGTATATGCCTACACGTCTGGGGGAAAAATATAGAGATGCATTCTTTTTAAAGTAATGGACATGTGAATAATCCTGAAAACTATTTTCAATCCTGTCCACATTTTCAGTAATGACTATACTTTTAAATTTTTTGAGATATTTTTATATTTTGGCTAATCAGTGTTATAAATGTTTATTGATTACACTTACTTAAAAGGTTTTTAGAAAAACTATTTGCATTGAGAAATAGAAATAATATTTTTAACATTTCTCTGCTGTTTGATGATTACTTAGAAAGTAATTTGGTTTTACTTTACATAAATTGTTGTAATCATGCTCATGTTTAGTAGAATATGTTACCAAGAAATAACCCGATAAATTAAACTTTGTGGGTCATTTTAACAAAATGAATGACTTAGACAGTTGATCCTGACTTGTTGGGTGTTTTTTTCTTTAATGTTTTTTTGAGATAGGGTTTCTCGGTGTAGCCATAGCTGTCTTGGAACTAGCTCTTGCAGACAAGTCTGACATTGAACTCACAGAAAGCCGCCTGCCTCTGCCTCCTGAGTGCTAGGATTAAAGGCATGTACCACCACTGCTCAGCTGACTTGATTTTTATATTAGCAAAATATTATACAAATAGTCATTAAAATTAAAAGTATTTAGTTGTTTAGTTTTCATTTGTAAAATTTAGGTATTAAAAAATTGTGTTGATTAGAATCTGCCAGAAACAATGCAATTGCTGAGTTTTTGTTTTTTTGTTTTTTTTTTCTTTTTGGTTTTTCGAGACAGGGTTTCTCTGTGACTTTGGAGCCTGTCCTGGAACTAGCTCTGTAGACCAGGCTGGTCTCAAACTCACAGAGATCTGCCTGCCTCTGCCTCCCGAGTGCTGGGATTAAAGGCGTGCGCCACCACCGCCCGGCTAATTGCCGAGTTATTAAAACTTTGTCTGTTTTGGTTTTATTCATCATTTTTGCAATAAAGAATTTCACGAAATTTTGGACGCTGCACCTTCACTTTTTAGAAGTCTGATTGTTTGTGAGACAAATTGTTCCAGAAGCCTCAAAAAATCCACCTGTGTGGCCTCTCCACTAATATTCCTAGTTCATAGCTATTCCCTCCGCCAAAGGCAGCTCCTCTTATCTCCCTCTGCCTAAGCGTTCCCCTTTCCAGGGAAGAAATGAAATGCTTACATGAGGGCCACAAATCTGTTTTCCAATGTTGATGAAAGATACTGGCTTTGAAAAAAATCCCTGTTAAGATTGCCAGAAATCTTATTTCCCTCCATCAGCAGATGCCTTTGAAATGGACAAAGTAATCCAAAAGAAGTGGACATTGCTAAGAAATATTAGGCAGAGCTTGTCAAAGATCACAGAGTAAGAGACCTTGTCAAAAATTTTTCTGTTGCCTTCTCTCACCAGTGTGTCTACTTTAAGGTTGGTTGCTACTGGAACACTATTTAAAACAGAGCAGGGCAAGAAAAACAAAATATTGCTGGGCTATAAAGTGATAGGCTCATGCTAAATCACTACAAATTATTTAAGCAATCAACAAACTAGCATGTTTTGCGACTGAAGCAGTTTTCAAATTGCTGGTCCCTTCGATATATACATTTTTAAGCATCCAATGTGGAAGTTGAAACATTAGTTGGATAATTATCAAGAAAAAAAGAAACTAACCATTTCTTGCAGAATAGTTTTTGTTTGTTTTTTACTGTTGTTGTTTATTTGTTTTGCCTCATGGAGGCAAAGAATTTTTAAAAGACAGAAGAAGAAAACAAAAATATGTTATTATTCCAACAACTTTGCAAACTCACAGGGGAGAGAAAACAGTGCTGAAGTGGACAGAAGCCCTTCCCCTCATCTATACCAAAATTCCCTGTCTCCATCAGGCACAGAGATCAGGACAGAGAGAGGCAGGGGAGTAGTTAGTTTGTATGCTGCTTTCTCTAAACTGTGATCTGCATCTACAAGAGGGAAAGGAGCCAGTCCACACGACACATTTGAGAAGCAAAGGAAGGGTGCTGACAAAACGCCAAATCAGGATCATTTCATAAACTCAGCCATTATTAAACTACTGTGACATATACTAATAATTATGAATGCTTAAC